CATTTAGATGTTGGGAAACACATTGCTGTATTTCCAGTTTGGCCATACAGCCCCCGAGGGATATTGAGACAATTCACCTTGAATGATCTCTTGAAGTGTGATAAGTATTTGTGCTGAAAAATTTGTTTCACCCTGTAGTTAGCAGTGACACTCAGTGAGCTTATCTACACTACAAAATTAGGTCAACTTAAGTTAGGTTATGTAGTTGAATCAACTGTTGGTGTCCACACTTGGGATGATAAAATGCATGTAATTAAATAATCGTGTATACGTGATGGTAGGTGGCTCCCTGGAAGCTGGTGTATGTGGGAAGATGGCTTCCCACACATACCTGCTCCTGCCTACCACCTCATGCTGCCACCTCTGTATTCAGCACATACTGGGAGCCTGCATCTAACCATAAACGCTAATTGATGAGCAGTTAACCATTTACAGGTTTACACGTTCACATCCCTAGTTCACATTTCCCTCTTTCTACCACACCAATTCTTCAGTGTCTGAAGTGAAGAACTGTGGGGTACACACAGCTGTGCTAGGCTGACTGCTGCAGCCTTCCACTCTGGGGGCTGGCAGCCCCTGAGCCCAACACAGGGCTCAATTTCACAGCAGGGCACCAGGCTAGAGTGAAACTGACATTCTTGTCAGTTTCGTGGCTTTTATGGTCTATTTCCTGTGTGGCTCTGATTTTCAGCCCTTGGGCTGGGAGAGCTACAGCTGGGAATCCTGGGCATGACCCACTCCTGTCACGCAGGTGGAGTTATCAAACAGGTGTGGAGGGCGACCACAGTAGCGAATACACAGAACTAGATTGCCATAAGCCGCCTTACATAGACCTAACTCCATTGTGTAGGCCAGGCCGGAGTTAGTTTCCCAGACCTGAAGAAGAGCTCAGTGTCGCTCAAAGAGCTTGCCTCGCACCAACGGGAGTTTTCCTCACCCGCCTCGTCTTTCTTCGCCACGGCCTTGGACAAGTCATTTAGCAAAACAGCAGCAGAAGAGCTCCCTGCCGGCCAGGGGCAGCAGTACGGCCGGCGAAGCGCGCGCGCACAGGGCTACTTCTGAAGAGCCCTCCCCCCATCTAGCCCC